TGCTGGTTGTTGTTGATGATCAGGTGCATAGCAGCTGGTGTTGCCTCTTGTCCTGTGTTTGGGGCCACAGAGGGTATGCTTGTGGCTGGGCTGTATGGGCATGGTTGCTGTCCTTTGTCAGGTGATCCAAGAAGATAAAATACATGCGCGAGAGTTAAAAACAAACAACAGTGAATAAAGAAATGAGTAAAGGGGAAAAAGAAGGAACAAAAAAGAAGGCAATAACCAAAAAGATAAGAGGGAGGGGGAAAGAAAAACATGGAGAGAAAAATAGAGAAAACAAAAAAGAAAGAAAAAACACTAAAAACAGGGAAAGGATGAGTAAGAGAAAGAAATGAGAGCATATTAAACAAAAATCAAGGCTAAAAAAAAGCAGGGTGTGGAGTGTAGGTGCAAAAACGAAGAAAAAAAATAAAAACAGAGATAGAAAGGATAAAAAGCAGGAGAAGGTAAAGATAGGAAGAAGGGGAAGAATAAACAATTGTCACATGCATATGAGGTTTTTAGAAGCTCTGGTAGCATAGTGACTACTAGTTGGGCTGCTAACCTCTCGGTCAGCAGTTTGAAACTACCAGCTGTTTCCCCAGGAGAAAGATGAGGCTTTCTGCTTCAGTAAAGTTTTATATCCTTGGAGACCCTATGTAGGGTTGTGATGAGTAGGAACCGATGCAGTAACACATAACTACCAGCACTATGAGGCTTTTGAAAACACCATGGTTTGGGTCAGACACACCTTAGTCCTCAAACTGATATCTTTGCTCTGGAACACTTTAAAGATGTATTTTTTCAGCATATTTGCCTAATGCAATACGGTGTTTGATTTCCTGACTTACTGATTCCATGAGTGTTGATTTTGGATCCAAGCAAATTGAAGTCTTTGTCAACTTCAGTCTTTTTTCCATTTATCATGACTTATTTATTGGTCTTTAGTCCTGGTGTGGTGCTGTGGGCTAATGCGCCAGACTACAAAGCCATTTGAACTGCAAGGTCAGTGGTTTAAACTCACCGGCTGCTCCTCGGAAACCCTTTACAGGGTCACTACACTATGGCTTGGAATTGATTCATTGGCACTTAACAACAACAACATTTGTTGGTCCAGTTGTGAGGAATTTTGTTTTTTTACATTAAGTGCAACCAATACTGAAGGCTGTGTTCTTTGGTATTCATCAGTAAGTATGTTAAGTCCTCTTTGCTTCAAGCAAGTAAGGTTGTATCATCTGTATATCACAGTTTATTAATGAGACTTCCTCCATTCCTGATGCCATGTTCTTCTTCGTATAATTCAACTTCTCAGATTACAGATGGAATAAGGATGATGAAAGAATAAACCCTGATTCACACCTTTACTGATTTTAAACCATTCAATGTTCCCTTTTTTGTGGTTGAATGACTGCCTCTTGGTACATACACAGGTTTCTCATGAGCAAAATTAAGTGTTCTGGAATACCCATTCTTCCCAGTGTTATCCGTATCTTATCATGATTCACACAAAAACATTTGCATAGTCACTGAAGCACATGTAAGCATCTTTCTGGTATTCTCTGCTTTCATCCAAGATCCATCTTATATCAGCAGTGATATCCCTCATCCACGTCCTCATCTGAATCCAGCTTGAACCTCTGGCAGTTCCCGGTCAATGTACTGTTGCAGCTGTTTTATAATTTTATGTTGTTGAAAAAGGGTATTTTCAATGAATAAGTTACTGGTCTTGCAAAATTCTGTCATGTAATCTTCAGCATCATTTGTATATCACCAAGTTCATTCTTTCCAACTACTGATCCTTCCTCTTTGTTTCCAACCTTAGCATTCACATTCATAAGTAATTGTCAATACATTTTGATTACATGTTTGATCAATTTCAGAATCAAGAAGTTGGTAGAATTCTTTAGTTGTGTTGCCATTGGCTTTAGTTGTTGTTGTTAATTGCCATCAAGTTAGTTCTGACCCATAGCAACCCTGCATAGGGTTTCCAAGAAGTGGCTTGTGAGCTTGAACCGCCTACCTTTGCAGTTCAAACCGACTTTGCAGTTCAGTCCATTAACTCACAGCGCCACACCAGGTCTCCCATTGGCTTTAGTAGTTGGTACATACATTGAATCATGGTAGTATTAACAGTTAATGCTGTTATTCCTTGTAGGTGTATGATAATATCCTATCACAGTGTTGTGCTTCAAGATAGATCTTGAAATGTTCTTTCTGGCGATGAATGCTACGTCATTTTTCTTGAATGTATCCTTCCTTGAATAGTAAACTATATTATTTTCTGTTTCAAGAAGTCTAATACTAGAGTTTATCGATCCTTATGTGTTCATTTTGACAACTTCCAATATTCCTAGATTCATGTTTTGTACGTTTTATATTTGTTTATAATGGATGTTGGTAGTAGTTTCTCCTCATTTTGTATTGCATCCCATCAGCAAAAGAAGGTTCTGAAAGCTTTTCATCATTCACGTCATCCTGATCGGTGCTACTTTGAGGAGGCACCTCTTCCCCAGTCTTATTTTGAGTGCCTTTCACATCTTCTGGTACTATATCTAACAATATTTCTCTGGTGTTAATAAGGTTTTCTTTTTTTTTTTTAAGGTTTTTATTATGGATTGATTGAAAGTTTGCAGGGCATATCATCAGTTTTACATTCAACAAAGCATGCACCTTGTTTCATTACAATGATTATAATCCCCTCCATGTACCATCAGTTAACAGTATTTCTCTATATTCACTTTAGCTCTTTTTTTTTCTTTAAAAAAAAAAAAAACAACTCTCAGGCATATATATAATAGTTTACACCACCAAAGGGCACATTCTGTAAGTCTGCCTCCTGGCCACCATCTCTTAGTCCCTCTGTTCCAGTGAATCTAGAGTCCTCAGCTGCTCCCTCTCTCCATGTCCCTATCTCTGCCACCATCTCTGGTGTCACTGCTTCTCTGGATAAGGTCTTGCATTTGCTTGTGCTCTTCTCCCTTGATGGTCCTAGAGTCCTTTGTTTCTGGACTGTAAGATTAACTACTGCCCTGTTTTTGTTACAAAACTTCTACCTTTACAATTGTGACAGTTGCAATAAGTCATGATAACAAGTACTCACTATTGAATCATAATCTTATCTCCATCTCTTTTAACCAGACCCATCCAGACAAGATGAAAACTATTCAGTGGGAACTCTTTCTTCCCCCACACACTGTTAAACTATACTTCCCCTTGAAGGATATTAATAAGGTTTTCAGTGAGTAAACATTCAGAAGTAGTCTGCTTCTCCTTCTTCCTAGTCTTTGTGCTGAAACCTGACCACCATGGGTGACCCTGCTGGTATTTCAAATACCAATGGCATAGCTTCCAGCATCATAGCAACATGCAAGCCATGATACAACAAACTGCCAGATGAGTGGTGGTTCCTCTTATATGAGCACTTGTCATTGCGTTTCGGGTTTACCTGGATAATCCAGGATAGCCTCACCATCTAAGGATCCTTAAATTTATCACATTTGCAATTTTTTTTATTCCATAAAGTGATATTTACAGGTTCTAGAGATTAGGATCTGGGTAACTTTAGAAATTATTATTCAGACTACCACAAATATCATAATCAGTCACACTTGCCATCTTTTTTTTTTTTTTTAAACACTTTATTGTGAATTGAATGAAGGCTTACAGAGGTGATAATATGTTTTACATTTAACACATCATATATTGAAAGTGCCATGGGCTGCCAAAAGAACCAATAGATTCGTTTTTGAAGAAGTACAGGCAGAGTGTTCCTTGGAGGCCAAGATGGCCAAACTTCGTCTCTCATACTTAGGCCATATTGTCAGGAGGGACCAGTTGCTGGAGAACAATATCATATTTGATAAGGTGGAGAGTCAGAAAAAGAGGAAGACCCCCAACGAGATGGATTGGCCAAGTAGCAGCATTGATGGTGTGGCAACAGTAGTGAGGTTGGCCCAGGATCGGGCAGTGTTTCGTTCTGCTGTGCATAAGGTCACTATGGGTCGGTACCAACTCGATGGCACCTAACAACAACAACAATAACAACAACAACAAATACTTCACTTCATCTCAGAGATTGCAATCTCCTTACTATAACATCATTTATTCCACTTCCTCCTTGTAGTTCTTATTTATATACCTCCTCCTTCCCAACCCTTCTGAATTTTGTCTTTTAATCTCAAATGATTGACCATTCTGTGATGTGCATAATTCATTAGTATTGTCCCCTCTGTTTACGTATCTATTGCTTGATTAAAAATTGAACCACATGGATGAGTTCTGTTCCTGACCTGAAGGGGTGACCAAGGGTTCCACCAGTGTCAGTCTGACCCATAAACCTAGTCAGTTTTTTGTGATTTTTATCTATGTTCCACATTTTCTCCCACTCTATCCAAGAGCTTCTAATGTGATCCATTTCATAGCAGTTGTACTTGTATTTTAATGCCATTAATACACACTTTCTACATTTGCGATTGCGTCCTCTGTTTGCAGGTATTTTCATAAGCCTTGGTGTGCTAGTCTTTTTCTTTATCTGCTGCTGTAAAAAAAGTACCTTTCAGAGGTGGTTGACAAAAAAATACAAAAGGTACATGTTAGTTATTTAAAAGTAAGTTTTAAATTCACTTCTGGTAATTAGTGTATTTCTTTATTTCATATAAATTAGGTCATTGTTGTTGTTGTTAGGTGCCATCCAGTCGGTACTGACTCATAGCAACCCTATGCACAACAGAACGAAACACTGCCCAGTCCTGGGCCAACCTCACAATTGTTGTTATGCTTGAGCCCACTTTGCCAGTAAAAGTAGTACTTTACTATCCAGTGGAGAATTTTAGCAATTATATCGTAAAACTTTATAAAGTTATTTGTAGTAATTGAGTTTAAATTTAATTTCAGTTTAAATTAATTTTAAATTACTTAATGGAAACCAATATTGGTCTTCAGATACCCTCAGAATTTTTAAGAAAATGGAAGATGGGTAGCTTTTCAATTATAAAAGTATTTTTGGTATATTTTTCCAGATGGGAAAGCTGACTACCATGCCTACAGGTCTGATATATGCATCTATAAGTGTGTTTGCAGCCAAAGAAGAGGAATCTAAAAAACAGCTCCTGAAACCAGAGCAGGTAATTGCATAATGCAGGTTTGTGGATTTTGTATAATGTAAAGATAATGCAAAATTTTTGAGTTCATTTTAGGTGGCACAAATGTTTAAGTGCTTATTGTTGTTGTGAACTGCCATTGAGTTGGTTCCGATCCATAGTGACCTTATATAAGGTTTCCAGGGAGCAGCTGGTGATCTTGAACCACCAACCTAGTGGTTCAAATTGACTTTGCAGTCCAATGCATTAGCCCACAGTGCCACACCAGGACTCTTTAAGTGTTTGACTACTAGCTAAAAGGTTGGTGATTCAAACCTATGCAAAGGTACCATGGGAGACAGACTTGGTGATTTGCTTCTCAAAGATCACAGCCTTGAGAACTGTATGGAACAGTTCTCCTCTGTACATGGAAATTGTGATGAGTTGGAATCCAAGCCATCACATGGGGTTGGAATTAAAAGCAGCTAGCAACATGTCAAAAATGTTCTTAAAGTAGTGATATGGGATAACATTGGTTTTACACTCATCGTTTCTTGCAATGTTTACAATCTCCTCCTTTCATCATCATTCAACAGTATTTGCTTCTATTCCCAGTTTTTTGTTTTGTTTTGTTTTTTGAGGGATGTACACAAAAACACTCAGGAATATATAATAATTTAAACAACCAAAGGGCACAGCATATAGCATGCCAACCTGCCTCCTGGCTGCCAGCACACAGCCTTTCTGTTTCCATAAGTCTAGAGTCATCCTCAACTGCTCTATATTTCCATGTCCTCATCTACGCCTCCATTCTGGTGTCACTGCTTTTCTGGATAGGTTCCCACATTCCGCTCGTGCTCGTCTCCCTTGATGGTCCTAGTGTTTTCTCTTCCTGGACTGTAAAATTAACTACTCCCCCTTTTTTGTTAACACAACTTCTACCTTTACAAATGTGACAGTTGCAATTAGTCAAGATAACAGTTACTCACTATTGAATCATAAGAATCTTATCCCCATCTCTTTTCACCAGACTTTTCTAGAAAAGATGAAAACTATTCAGTGAGGGTTCTACCTTCCTCCGCACACTCTGAAACTAAACTCCCTATTGAAAACTTACAAGCTAGTCACTTTGTGCTTAAATTATTATTTTTTTAAGTTTATATTGTGAATTGGATGATGAGTTTAAAAGGTGGGAACATCAGTTTTACACTCATCGTTTCATTGCAATGATTACAGTTTCCTCTGTGCATCATCATTCAATGGTATTTGCTTCTATTCCCTCTGGTTTTTTCTTGTGGGGAAGGGATGTACATGAAATCACTAAGGAATATATGATCATTTAAACAATCAAAGGACACATTCTTCAAGCCTGCCCCTTGACCACCAGCACCTGTCTAGCAGCACACAACCTTTCTCTTTCTATGAGTCTAGAGTCCTCAGCTGCTTTTTCTCTCCATGCTTTCATCTCTCTCTCCATCTCTGGTGTCATTGCTTCTCTGGATAGGGTCCCACATTCTGTTCATGCTCTTCTCCTTTGATGGTCCTAGCGTTCTCATTTCTTGTACTGTTAAGATTAACTTATCCACTCTTTTTTTAAAAAAACTTCTACCTATACAGTTAGTTGTGACAGTTGCAATTAGTCATGATAACAATTACTATTGAATAATACGAATCTTATCCCCATCTCCTTTCACCAGTCATATCTAGACAAGATAAAAACTATTCAGTGGGGATTCTACCTCCCCCACACCACACACACTCTGAAACTAAACTCCTTCTTGAAAACTTGTAAGCTAATCACTTCATGCCTTTATGTTGTTGTTAAGTGCCGTTGAGTCGGTTCCGACCCATAGCAACCCTGCATTAACCCACAGTGCCACACCGGGACTCCTTGTGCCTTTATTATTGTTATTGTTGTTATGTGCCATGGAGTCAGTTCGGACTCATAGTGACCCTGTTCAAGGTTTCCAAGGCTATAAAACTTTATGGGAGCAGAAAGCCTCCTCTTTCTCCCACGGAACAGCTGGTAGTTTCAAACTGCTGACCTTGAGGTTTGCAGCTCGATTTGTAACCACTGTGCTACCAGAGCTCCTTCATGCCTTTTAGCACCTCCCATTTTATTTAGCCAATGTCTAAGTTTCCCATCTCTATCAATACTGTATACAGAGTGGATAGGATTGATTTTTGGATGTGAGGACTCCTTCCCTCTCAGTTGGTATTTTGAGCTACTATATCCATAACCATAGGTTGTTGTTGTTGTCAAGTGCTGTTGAGTCGGTTCCGACCCCTAGCGACCCTGTAATGGGTTCCCAAGGAGTGACTGGTGAGTTTGAACTGCCAACCTTGCCGTTCAAACCAACTTTGCAGTCTAGTACATTAACCCACAGTGCCACACCAGAACTCCTAACTATAGGTTAAGTTCATCAAATTTTAGCAATTTACATTTGTTTCCTTTATCCAGAAAAAATTTTTTTTTTTGCCTTTTATCTTCCTCTGGTCGAGTTCTGATCATCAAGTGATCGAAGTAAGGTCAAATGCATACTATCTACAGATTTTGGTGTTCTTGTGCATCTCCCCTCACTTCACATGAGCTGGGCACTTCGCTCACAACTCTAGCCCTCTGTGGCTATGTCCTTGTCCATGGGCTCAGGAGTCCACACGTCTCACCACACTTCAGACCAACCAACCCCTCCCTCCTCTTCTCTCTCTCATCTCCAGGTCAACTGGAGTCTATAGAGTGGGGTCAAACTCAGCCCATATCTTCATTGCTGCCTTTCCCCCTCTTCCGCTCATCAGAAGACCAACGTGTTCGCCAGCAAGCTTAAATGCCTGCTTGTGTGTTCCCTTTGAGTTTCAGTCTTGGAGAGGGATTTGTCTTGAAGGGACTTGATTGCTTGCCTTGATGGCTCCCCAGCAAACAGCTTGCTTGTTCTTGTAGTAGCCAATCATACTACTGTTTTTGTTTTGGATTTTTTCCTGCTGGTGTTTCTTTCAAGTAGTATCTTCTGTTCCTCTAGCTATTCCAGGATGGTCTGCCTGTCATTTCAAGTAGGAATGTCCCACCTCAGAGGGTTCTGGGTGGGGCTCAGGATTCCACCTTAGATCCTATAGACTATAAAGTCTGTTTCACTGGGAAAATTCTAGAACCCCTTTTAGGTATTCCAGTCAGTTATAGGCTGAAGATGGGCTTACAAGATTTTTGTAATCATATTTCCTGATATTCCTCTCTATTCCACTCAAGCGTCTATTTTATAGTAGTAGGCGTCCAGGTGTGGCGCTGTGGGTTAATATGCCAGACTGCATGGTTGGCGGTTCAAGCTCACCAGCTGCTCCTTGGAAACCCTATACAGGGTCGCTATGGGTCAGAATTGACTTGACGGCACTTAACAACAACAAGGCAATATTCTTAAGACAGTCAAGTATCTTAACATTATTTCCCCTCTTTTACCCATTCAGTCTGTGCTTCGATCCTTGTATCACAGAGCCCTGTTGTTCCAAGGTTGAGCATATTGACCTCTGTACCATTTAGCCCATGCAAACCTGCCTCCGTGTTCCCTTTTCTAGCTTGTTCTTCCATTCCCCCTTCTACTACCTGTGTATTGCCCTCCCCAGCACCCAAACTATGCTGTCTCTATTCCCTACCCTATGCTCTACCATCTCCTTACTCCTTCCTATTCTCCCACCTCCTGCATCCCCCCACTCCCTGTAACCAACAAAGAATTACTTTTTCCTTTTTAGTATGGGTATCTTTTCTTAACCTTTTATGTTAATGGTCTTATGCAATATTTGTCTTTTTGTGACTAATTTCATTCAGCATAATGTCCTCAAGGTTCATCCATGTTACTTGTTATTCTTCAAGGTAGCATAATATTCTGTTGTGTGTATATACCAGAGTTTGTTTATCCATTCTTCCA